CACGCGACACCGAGTATCCTAGATATCATGTTACTCAAGGAGGTCTCGCTCGACATCGAGTCGATAGAGACAATCCATGAACTAAACTCAGATCACAGGCCCGTCCTGTGTAAACTGAGCCAGAACGCCGGCGCGGTCCCTCTGACCAAATCCGTAGTGGACTGGCATCGTCTTGAGGTCAAACTCAAGGCCTTGGACCCCCAGGACTTCGTCGACCTACCCGAGACGATAGCTACGTTCGATGACGCAAATCGAGCGATAGCAAGTCTCCGAGAAACCATCACTTCCACAGTCGCAGACTCGGAACGGACGGTTAAACTGTCGGGCGATCGACGGTTTAACTTTCCGCCCGAACTACGACTCATAATTAGGCAGAAAAATGCAGCCAACCGCGCTTTCGATCGATACCGATCGGAATCGAACCGAACCCTACTTCGACGCCTTCAGCTAGACGTCAAAGATCGTGTATCGGAACACTGACATACAACGTGGGACACTCTCCTAGAGGACATCGAGCCATCGCACACCGCCTACTGGCGGTTGGTCCGCAGTCTGAAAGCAGACCCCCGCGAATCTCTACCGCCGTTAGTTAGACCTAATAGCGCTTCAGTAGCCCTAGATGACTCCGAAAAAGCCGAATGCCTTGCGGACAACCTAGAGCAGCAATGTACGCCATCGCGCGAACACATCGATACAGCCCACCTAACGGAGGTGGACTGCGTAATCGAGATTAGGGCTGTGCTTCCACCGGAAGGCGATCCTTTGAATTCAGTGACCCCCAAAGAGGTTCAAGATATTATTAAAAACTTAAAACCCAAATCCGCCCCGGGCCCAGATAATATTAGTAACAAAATTCTTAAAGCTCTCCCTGGGCCGCTTATCTGTTTACTGGCGACCATTTACAATACTTTACTCTCCAGTTGCTCCTTTCCAGACGACTGGAAAGAAGCCAGGGTTATCGGCATTCGCAAGCCTAATAAACCAGCCAACCAGCCCTCTAGTTATCGTCCCATCAGCCTCCTCGGTTGCCTGGGGAAGCTCTACGAGCGGCTTTTATTAAATAGGCTCAATGAGCACGTGTTTTCCAACGGCCTTCTGCCGGCGGAACAATTCGGCTTTCGAGCTAGACATTCCTGTCCCGATCAACTATTCCGCCTAACGGAACATATCCTAAAAGGCCTAAATCACCCTAAACATATTAGTACAGGGGCTCTTTTCTTCGATGTCACAAAAGCATTCGACAAGGTCTGGCACAACGGCTTGCTTTACAAGCTGTACACACTCAAAGTGCCAGATAGGCTCGCATACCATCCAGGCCTTCCTGTCGAACCGCTCTTTTCGATATCGAGTTGAAAGCACCCTCTCCACAAGCCGCCGCCTCACGGCCGGCGTACCACAAGGCTCCTGCCTCTCACCTTTGCTCTTTACGCTCTACACGAGCGATATACCTAAAGACCCCCACGTCAATCTCGCGCTTTTCGCGGATGACACGGCGCTCTTTTATTCAGACCGCAACCTTAGACAACTAACCGCTCGACTCCAAAGCGCTGCCGACCGCCTCAGCGATTGGTTCCGCAAATGGAGAATAGAAATAAATCCCGAAAAGAGTGTGGCGATTCACTTCACACGAAGTACTTACCCGTCACATCTTTATAATGGCCCTCGTCAATGCAGAAAGTTGGGGCAAATATCCCTTTATGGCCAACCGCTCCCCTGGGAGAAAAAGGTCAAATACTTAGGAGTCACTCTCGACTCGCGTATGTCATTTACTACGCACATTAATAACGTTCGCAATAGAGCCGCGTTCGTCTCCGGCCGGCTACACAATTTAACTAACGCTAAAAGTAAAATGCCCTTAAGGCACATATTATTATTATATAAGACCTGCGTACGACCTATTATGTCTTACGCATGCATGACCTTCGCCCACACGCACCCCACTCGCTTGCACAAGTTGCAAATAGTACAAAATAAGTTCATCCGCCGCGCAACCGGTGCGCAGTGGTATCAACGCAACGTCGACCTGCACAGCGATTGCAGACTCCCGACGATTCACGAATATTTTAAAGACCTGACCAAACGGTTCTTCGATAGAGCCGAAAATCATCCCAACCCTCTGGTGGTAAGCGCAGCAAATTACCAACCCGACCAAAACGCGAACGTCAACAAGCGTCGCCCGGGAAACGTCCTAATCGACCCGGTCGAGGAAGGGGACTTAGACACGCCGGACCCACTGCCGGGGCTCCCGCCGGACAACACTACACCCACAGTTAGTGCAACAACAAACACACTAGTTCGCCCTCGCCTCCGAACACGGCGAGACCAACACAACGCGTACACAAGGTACACCCGCGTTCCGGGGCGGTTCTCACCGCCCCCAGCCACCGATTAGCTAATTGCACAGTCGACGGCCATCGGGATTTCGGTCCGAACCACGACCTCGATGGCCCTTAGATGACGTACCATAGTTAAACGCACGCATGAGCACATGCGTGGCCCTACCCACAGCGGAGGGCCCAAACCCGTGGGTTCTAGCTAGCCCACCGGTTCTGCATCAGATGAAGCTTTAATAGTCTCGGGACTGAGAGCAAAAACATCAGTTAATACAAGATACAAGATATCGTATACTATAAATTTACACATGTCACTTCCGAACAAAACTTGTATATTGTTGCTAAGAGTTTAATATAGTCAAACAAATATGTTACGATAGCGATAAAGAATCAGGTAAAATAAATAGGAAACGCTACCGCCCTTGTCACGCGTGGTATAATAACCAAAACGCATTTATCGCGGGTCCGCCCTGTCGCGTGTAATTGAGTTACCGCTCGCCAAGACACGGGTATGGCGTATGGCTCGCACGAGTCTTCAAGTCTCAATGCTCAAAACAAGCGGAAACCTACGCTGAACGCGGTTAAATTTAATCTGTTTATCGGTTCATCTCGAACTAATCAAATGAAGGGACGCGTATATCTACCTATATGTTAATACGTGAAGCAAAAACTTTGTACCCCTTTTTACGATGATTTCACGGACGGAGGATTATGAAATTTCCCACACTTATAGTTTATATAAATGGAACGCAGAATGCTAATACTTTTTTTAATTATGCACAAAAATACATTAAATCGATATAGAAAACATTTTTTGTAGCGATATACTTAATTTCAATTAATTATGGTCGAATTTCGACCAATCGGCGTCCACTAGTTAAACAGAAATCGACATATACTCGTGTCGACCCTTCAAACCTTAAGATGCATTTGCGAAATGTGTTATTTGACTAATAACATGAATGTATTTTATATCGTTTTAAAATATGTATTAAATAAGTTACAGTCCGTGCGTTGTAGCTAAAAAACTTTTTGGCTGAATAAACTTTTTTATTTTAATCATTTAATAAATAAGCTGAGAAATACGAAAGCTGTATGTATCTATCATGAAAATGTTTGGTAATCTATCACGTTTTTCTTTTTTTATCCATTAGTCTACATATCCATTAGTATACCAGCCAGATTTTGAATTAAAAAAGAAGCAATTGACTAATTTCTTACATTTTTGATTGTCATCCAATATTCAGTAACATTGTTGAATCACAAAAATAAAAGATATACATGTCTACACACTGAAATGTATTTTGTACACGTAACTTTAAATAAGTGATGAACTGTTAGCACAAATTTGAAGATAAGGAATGAACCGACGGATAATAGAAGGAGGGTATTTCCTTAGAACGGAACAGTTGGCCATTGAACTCTCAGGAAATACCTAGCGCGCGACCCACGGCGTTATCAATATGGATTACCCCAATTCGTAACATATAGGTGTTTTTATACGTTCTGACCGAATGCTGGAGGTGTTCCGGCATACTGATGTTTCCTTAGATTGCATTCACCTCGATCGGTGAGAGCCTACTAATCAATATTGGTATTAAGGTTGGAGTATTTTTCTTCATTATTCAATGAAACCTTCACGCAAATTTAAATTGAAGTTCAAAATATCTTAATTCACATAGACGCTTGCGCTTTCTTGTGCGGTTCGGAAAGCAGTTTCTGCTGAGAAGAAACCGGCAAGAAACTCAACAGTTGCTCTTTTTTAGAAAGGTCAGTTTACAATACAGATACACAGACTGGAACCCGTAATACTATCGTGAATGCTGCTCAGCCCACTATTGGCAATAAACTGTGGATCAATATCGAGACGAGCATGTTGATTGGAACACTTCCTGCTGTTGTTCGACGAAATAATTCCCCCCGATCGTCGAAGTTCTACGTGACGACAGAACTGGGCAAACACCTACGCGAGTGTTACCCAGGGCGTTTACGAGCGCCTAGGTTATTAATCGCTCCGTTTACGACACTCATCCAAAGGTGGGGGCTAATAATAATATATCCTAAGCTGTTGTTTTTCTGAAGCAGTACTTATGGCTTTCCCCACCTGATCAGATTGAACTGAAAGCAATTCCAAACGTTTAGCATTATTTTGTTAGAGCATCAGTAATACAGCGCTCTCAAGAGGAATTAGTATTTTCATACAACGCAAAGACAGGAATACCTTACTGATAGGCGCGGAAGATGATTAAGGAACTTGATAGTCCACGTTATCTGCCAACTTTGGGTGATAAACGTTTATTTTTTTTTTTCTACATATTAAACAGAAGTAAATTTTTCGAATTTTAATTGAACATATGATGATTACTAGAAATTAAAAGATATATTCCAAGAAATACCATGACAATATTAATAGGATATAAGAACTAATAAAATTGCTTCATACATTGGTGACGATAGGTCAAAAATAAAAAGTACTTTAAACAAAAAAAAATAACACAATTAGGTTAATAGTTTTACATTTCATAACGCTTTATCAGACGATAAAAATAATGAATTCATTAAAATTTATCAAAAGAATGTACTTAAAAAAACTATTTTGTTGTGTAAATACAGTAAGGTGATACGTGTAAATAATTCTCTGTCCAATATAAAGTACGTAGTTTTAACATGACAGAAGATGATATTGTCGCTGTTGGTACTATACTATCGATTATAAGTACTGTAGCGTTGATTGCGACCTGGTGTCTGATCCCACAGTGGAGAACGCTTCTCAACTATGTCACCACGAATCAGATAATTGCCGGAACTCTTCACCTGAGCACCCTCAGCCTTTTGGAGGTAGATTTGAGTGACGCATCTATAGAAATCGTATTAGAGGTGAATTTATATCTTTTCTACGCGTCTCTATGCTGGTCTCTGTGCGCATCAATGATCTCCTATTTGAAGCTGGTGCTGATTCATCCGGGGAAGATACACCGTGGCAAGAGGAAAGCCACTCTCTTCAGCTACGGCCTACTCTTTCTGATGAAGATTGTGACGAACGTGTTGATCCCGAAAATGTTCCAGTTGAAGAAATACTCCAGCGATATGGTTATCGAACTTGTGTCCATATACTCCATCATATCGCTGAACATGTTCGTCTTTATCAAAGTTGTGGTCACTGTGGTACCTTGCTGCAGAAAACGCATGTTCAAATTACGAAGCGGCAACATTGTTTCCTTGATTGGTGTGGGATTTGTTTGCGACGTGGCAACGTCTTTATGTATGCTGCTAACCATGTTCCAGCTTTACGGGGGCGTTGAGAGAATTAGAGTGAGAGTGGTGATGGCCTTCAGACTCATACCTCAAGCACTGGTAGTGTTGTTTAATAAAAGATCCAGAGACATTTGGAGTAAGTACTTAAGAAGGAGAAGATGTATTAGGTTAAACAATATAGCGATGCAAAATATTGGAGTTTAGCTTGAGTCAGTTTATTTTTAAATCAAAGATGTAGATGAAAAGCTATTCGTGTTACTAATTCTAAAGAAAGGTAAACATTTTGTGTCTGATTTTGTATATATTGCCTCTTAATTGCCTTAATTGTAAATATCAAAAGCTTTCATGAATTATTATATGTTGAAACTTATGCATTCACAAAATCTTGTCTTCTATCACAAATTCTTATAGTTTTTACTAAAAGTCAAACTAAGCTTTCTTTAATGCAGTCGCAATGCATATGCGCAAACATTCTATTTGCGTAATCCAATTAAATAACCATTCAATTAAATAGTAAGTACATACATATTAGGGTAGTATAATATACTAAAAGTACACTAAAGGGAGTGTAATTCTTTTACTCTTATAAATTTATTCTTTTAATTCGCCCCATAATTTGACTTCTATTAGATCTTAAATCTGAATAAGTGTGAATAATTAATGAATGTCTCAGTCTCATTTATATATTTTTTTAAAGTAAGTTGGTAATGACGGAATGGTAACTCATGTAAATAGCCGTAAGAGTATGGCATTAAGGTAGATTTTAGCGTGTTTACTGGAATGGTGGCAAGATACGAGTACGTATAGTCACAGGGAACAGGAGGGATTGAACAAGCGTAATTAGTCATTAGCGACAGCATAGTGGGCAGGAAGCGAGCGCGATTGATCGAAAGCTTCGACATCAGATAGAGTAGTTTGGTCGTGATTGTTCCATTAAGAGACAGTATCACTAGTGCTTGGGTTGTTTCAAAGATATTTTAATGCACTTTATCACAGGAATGAGGAGTGAAAATAGTTAAATGAAAGGTTTCCGCTTTATATTTTATTTATTTATTCTTTATTTGGCCACCCCATTGGCGTAGTAAAAGGAGTATGTTTATAACTAGTATCCATAGTACAAACTTTTCTTAGTTAGGGACTAGATAAAATTGTGTAAATATAGCCCGGAATATTTATTTATTTATTTACGCACTCAAAACATGTACAAAAACGCGAAACCAACAAACGAGAAACGTTTGGGTGGTCCTGAGAAGTTTATCATATTCTTTATTATTCTTACTCGTATTGTATTTATCTTTTTGCGTACGCAACTCTGGTTTTATTAGATCATATTATGAATTTCTATAACATAACGGTCGGTCTTAATAACGAAATGCAAATGTGAATCTTTAATACTTATCTTACTTCAAATAGGTTACTAATTTTCATTTATATGCTACATTAATGATACATACATGGCTTTGATAAATAAATTATATATATGTATGAGTTAGCTATGCTCTTAAAGTTGTACAAAACAATTAAGACTGCTTTGGATCGTTAAAACCCTGTTCGTATAAAAATGTGATGGTTCCGTGGCACAGTTACCAAGGTATTGGCTTCGACACCGGGGTTCGTGTGTTCAATTCCCACGCGGGACAACCGCATAGCTTAGTTGGTAATGCGTCTGGTTGCGAAACTAGAAGGCTCATGTTCGAATCCCGAGTTCTTGTTCATTTATCTGCTAAAAATTACAATATGTAAAAAGTCTTTACAACAAAGTATAGTGTTATCCTATCGTAAGGACAGTGTTAAAAAAATAATAAATAAAGGTCTCAACTTCAAATATTGAGGCAGGTTTCCTTGAGCACGCGCCAGATAACTCGATAATGTAGGTTTCAAAGTCCCACACAACATGGGTAACTCGATTGCCGGTCGCTCGATCTAAGCTAATTCCGTTACTCAGCGAGACAGGCACCAAGTCTAGATTATAGGTACTGACTATCGATTGGGATATGATCCTGTCAGCGGAGCACCGGACGCTGAGAGCAAACTTTGAGGTCGAATTAGCATTAACAAGAGTTTGATGGATTAGCGTGCTAAGTACGAGCTGTGTTTTACTTCAGACATGCTATTTAAAATTCGTCTTCCTCAGCTGTGAAAGTGTTATTTTAATATACTGTTAAAGATGTGTTGTGTTTTTTTTTATTTTATTTGAAAATCATACAGCAAAAGAACATTTATAGCATGTATACATACAGAACAGTTATAAATGAGCTCCTTACATTTTATTCAATACAATTACATTTTGTAATGTTTATTTGTAATTCCTGCAATTTTTATTATACTAAGTATCCCGTTTTTAAAGATTTTCAATAAATATAACTTATATAAAGAATTATATATTTAGACATTTGAATCATTTGTTTTACTTCTCGACAGACGGTTATTTATATCGATCTACTTTACAATGTTCTGGATGAAACTTAGCCAAAAGAATAATAATATTTAACGAAAGTATTTGACTCGGTGCGTTGGGTTATTGAGATTTTTTCGGTCACATATCGAGCATAACCTACGTTCAACTGGGATAGCTTTTTTACGGAAAAAAGGGGGCAAACGGTCAGGAGGCTCACCTGATGGGGAGTGATCGTTGTGATCAACAGTGAACATCTGCAAGGAGGGCTTGCAAATGCGTTGCCGGCCTATCCGGGAAGAATATGCTCTCTTCTGCAAGGTTCCCAGGTCGTAGCGGCGGCCGCTGGTTGCCCAAAATGGTTGTGCGAGGCAGGAAATGCCATGAAAATCGCACTGTACGATGATCATTACATCGAAGAGCGAATTACGCTAAAAGAAATCAATCGAATGCCCGTTCCGTATAATTATTCACGCGGCCCTTAAACGCCATCAACGGCGTCGGTATAAAATTCACCAACGGCCGTCTCCATCGCGCATTAAGGCGCGTGCACACCCGAGCCACTGTAAAAAAGTTATCGTCGACCATAACGCCGTCCATTACCGTAATGAATTATGTGTAGGGCCGTTAATCTGTCCTCAGACATCACTCCTCATCTCATCGGCAATTAGGGGTAATTGAATATTAAGATGGCCGAATGACTGCTTATAAAACGGGAAATTGTGCGCCACGGAGGGTGTGACGCAGGCTTAGGAGAAGACTTTGTTAGATGTGTCCATTTTATATGGTGGCCGAGAGGATTTACTGCGTACGTCTCACGAAAATCTCTAGTTTTATGAAGATTCTGATTAGAAAATGTATGCTTTTATCTTAATGTAAATGGTGATACATATGTCTGTATTGGAGACAATAAAAATGAGAATTTTTGTTGCTTTATCGACACTTTTTTATTTAAATTGTATTGTAAATGCTAAATAGATTTAAGGATGATTTTTTGATGATTATTTCTGTTATAATTGATTTACTTTTTCTTATGATTTCCATTTGCGGCAATGGTGAGCAGCACACGCCATATTTCTTATGATCAGCCGCCTGACGTCAACTCTCCTTGCGAACAAGCACGCAGATCCGGTACAAATATCTGCGGGTCACACAAATACTTGTCCCGTGTGGGAATCGAACCCACCACCCCCGGCTACGAAGCCAATAGCTTTGCAACTGCACCACCGTCTTATTAAATACAAAAACATAAAGTATACTGACTACATAGTTACCGTGGTTTTATCCTTGCACGGATATATTTGGTGGTACATTCTAGAATTTATAAGAGTTTAAATTTAATAAAAGCGTTTGAATTCCTTAATTTTTTTTAAATAATTAAAATAATTATTTAAATCTGTACTTAACTAATCGAATAATAGATAATGTAATCATCACAGTAGATCATAACTCAGACATAGAGTCTCCTTCTAGCTTTATTTAAAAATATGCTAGAAAAAAAATAGTAATGAAGAATAAAATATAGCAAGTAAGTCAGAGTTATAACGAAAATATGAATAAACATACAATACTTTATTTTTTTTAAATATAATCACAAAAAGGATATGAGTCGCATGCACGGGTCGTGACGTAAACTCTCGTATTTATGGGGCTAGTGGAACATTCGTGGCGTTAATTCCACAATAAAAACAAGATAAATCATGTAGTTGAGGTCTCAGCGGTTATTGCAGGTAATTCTGAGTATATTTTGAAAGCTTCGATATTAGATCTAATGTATTCTTGGTTTTATTTCTCCTTATCAAAACATTTATCCTTATCCGTAAGGACGTTAACCTAAATTTCACTTGTACAAATACACAGATTCGAAACAATTATCTGTGGGTCTCACAAATAGTTTTACCGTATGATAATCGAATCCACGACATCCTTCCCTTAGCCGACACACTGGCAACTGCGTCAAGGAGTCATCTAAAGTTATAAATACTCTTAATCCTTTATCTTGTGAGGAGGTGACTGCTCGCTTCATGGCATGATCGATGGAATATAGCGGATGGCTTGAATAGTAAGATTGACGTGTATTTAATCAAGTCTTACACTTTTTTTGTAGACGACAGTTCTCTACGATAAATATTTCTATCTTTTCTAGTCTTAAAATGTGATTTTTTTGTCTTTTACTTTTGGCGCGGTGGGATACCAACCTGTGTATTCCGGTCAAAGTCAATGAACAAAAAATACAATACATACCTATATATACATGCTTTAAGTGTTGTTTTGAAAATGGAAAGAATATTTATACATAATACATGTCTATACTAAATACTTAATTAATAAATAGTCTTTATGTTATTGTAATATTTGATGTTCTAATTTTTGGTTATCTATTTTATAAAAGAAGTTTGTGAATTGGCAAAAAAATTATAACATTTTCTAAAGTTTACCTTATAAATTCTTCATAAGTATAATACTTCATAATTAACTTATCTGTATCTCAGAATATCGCATATCAAAGCTTTATAACGACGTTAAAGAACATTCCTTGAATTTTCTTTCCACCACCACCACCCATTTACTCCAGATACTCAAAACATACGTCCTTAGGCAGCCGCCGCCGACTGCGATACATGTCGCGGTTTTAATGCGCGCGACAACAAAGTGCGGCGATAGAGGAAGAAATGCGAAACGTTAATTGTCAATAAATGCGTCGGTAACGCGCGTCGGGTGACTTATGCGCTGTAAAGTTGGCGGATGTCGACGATCGTTCCTAGCTCCTAATGTTCTCGCTTTTGTCGCTTCGCCTTTAAAGGAG